ATGATGATGATGATGATGATGATGATGATGATGATGACTGATGATGATGATGATGATGATGATGATGATGATGATGATGATGATGATGATGATGATGATGATGATGATGATGATGATGATGATGATGATGATGATGATGATGGAGATGATGGAGATGATGATGGAGGATGATGATGGAGATGATGGTGATGATGGAGATGATGATGATGCAAATGTTGTTGTTGTTGTTGTTGTTGTTGTTGTTGTTGTTGTTGTTGATGATGATGATGATGATGATGATGATGATGACAGGGGAATGGAACACTTGAGGATCAACACACTCCAACTGTCATCGAAACTTTTCAACGAGTGAGTTGTCGCTGCATCATCTTCACACCTCAAACGAACTGATTGGAACGGAAGATGATGAGGTCAGACTCAAAGTTTCGAATCAACAAGGTGATAGCAGGGGGAGAGACAAGCTTCGCCATTGATACAGATAAGAATCTCTTTGCATGGGGTTGGAACGAACATGCACAACTTGGGTTTGAGAGCAGCTCGATTGTGATGGAGCCTCGACAAGTCAAGCTGCCAAGACCAGTTAAGGAGGTCAGGGATAGAATGCCTGCATGTTTGCTCCCTGCTTTCTTTCTTGGCATGTTCCTTGCCGTCTGTGTTGTTCTTCACTTGTTTGATCGCCTCTTATGGTCTGTGTTGTTCTTCACTTGTTTGATCGTCTCTTGTGGACTCAAGAGATCTCACCCCTTATATCAAATCTTGATTGCCATGTAGAGAAGTTCAAATGCTATGCCGTGAAAGCATTTTACATCAATCATCCATCTTCTTGTACATGGATATATCGAACAAACGCTTTCTCACAACATTGACAACTCCATCTCTTCCTGACGCATTCAATCGCGTCTGTCATGTGACTTGTTTCCTTCAGGTATCAGCAGGATCTGTTCACAGCGCAGCCATCTGTTGTGATGGGGAGGTGTATACCTTCGGTCGAGACTGCATGCCGAAGTTGAAGGGAGGAGGAGGAAGACTGGGGCACGGGAGGCATCTATCCTTGCACGGAATTCGTGATGAGGTGGAGTAGATGAATTTGCAGATGCTGAAGATCGATAAGGATTGTTTGATGTGATGTAGAAATGATGTGATGTTTGTCTGATGTTCTTGTGCATAGCAATCTCCTGCTGTCGTCACCTGTCGTGTTCTGTTGTCCCAACCTTGTGATGTTCTCGTCTTGTGCCGATTAGTTCTCGCGTGTTGGTGATATCATGCAGGTTGTTCTTCCCCTCAAGATCTCAAGCCTTGAAAACTTCCGCGTCATGTCTGTTGGTAAGATTTCAACCTCAACAAACACGAACACACACGAGAAAAGATCTTGTGCTGATCAGGATAAACTTGACTGTGAAACAGCTTGCGGAGCCGATCACAACGCCTTGCTGTGTTGTAGAAGAAGTCGGTCTGCTGGCAGACAGCAGGTGAGTCTGTGGGCTTGAACGAGAAACTGATCATGGAGCTAACCTGTTGATGTACATGCAGGAGCAAGAGGAGGACAGGAAGGATGATGATGATGATGACGACGACGACGATGATAATGAGGTGGACAAGGAGGAGAAGGGCAGGAAGAGGATGAGACAGACTACCTTGTTTGTGTGGGGATCTTGCATAACGACATGTCATGGAGGTCAATCACTCACTTAGCTCGTTCACTCTGCTGACATGGCGGTCAGTCTTGGAGAGTTCGACCCCGCGAGCATCACCTGGAGTGGAGGATGAGGTGAGATGATGGTGATGGTGATGATGATGATGATGATGATGATGATGATGTTGTTGTTGTTGTTGTAGATGATGATGGTGATGAGTTTTATACAATGTTGATTATCTCGTCATGCAGAACTTCAAGTTTGTTGCTGCTGGAGATGACCATGCGCTCGCTATCGCTGTAGCATGAACAACTTCCTTTCTCCTCCTCCTCCTCCTCCTCCTCCTCCTCCCTGTCTCTGTAACTCTCCTCTCTTTCCCTCTTCCTCCTCCTTCTCTTCAGTTCTACATGCCAACGAAACCAGATAAACGACGTCCATCTTTAAGTTTGTTTACAGCTAGTTGTGCGACAACCTTCTCTCCCTCGTCCTCACGTTGGTTATTCTGCCATCCACCTGTGCCAGGATCTGGAACCTGTTGGAGCAGCTGTGAGGTGGAGGTAGTGGAGGAGGAGGAGAAGGAGGAGAGAGGAGGAGGTGGTGGAGGATGGGAAGGACTCGTTGAGCTAGTAGTCTTGGCACTTGGAAGGAGGAGGAGGAGGAGGAGGAAGAGGATGTAGAGGAGGAGAGGCAGGGTGGAAGGAGGGATGCATTTGCTGGCAGCTGTAAGGAAGAGGGGCAGGGGGAGGTGGAGCGGGGGCGAGAGGAGAGTGGGGTTTCATCATTCACCTGCCATGGAG